AACAAGGTAAGGTAGGTATTATTGGTGTCATGCATTTTGTATTTCTTAATGAACTTAGACTCTTGTACTGTGAAGTTTTGTTTTCTAACAACCAATTCTTCTGTGAAGTTCTGAAAATTTGGTTGTTGATTATTCTTCAAGAATCTAAGTTCATCAAGGAAGAGTTCTTCAAAATTTAATTCAAAGCAGCAAATGTTTAACACAGTTTTATTATTCTCAAGGACCTGATCTGCTTCTTCTAAAAACTCTAACTCTTCATCAAAAATCTCCTCAAAACTTAAATCACACTCTTCTTCTTCTTCTTCTTCTTCTGATCTTTCCTGAATGTAATTTATTTCTAGAGGCTGATTATTTGGTTGGTCCCCTGGATTAAAAATGTTAAGATCAGCAGTCAAATTCCCAAAGGACAGCTTCATTTGACCAGTTCTACAGTTGATGAGAGCATTAGAAGTGGCTAAGAACGGTCGTCCTAAGATGACAGGTGTCTGTCCTTTTGGATTGGAAACATAATAACTTTCGTCGATATTGGCGAAAACTGTACTGCCTATTCGTTTTGTAAATCTATGATTTTGAAATGACATGTGATCTGGTCAAATAATAAACATGATTTACTTCATAAACTGATATATGATTTATCTATAATTACGCATACTGAGGGAGAGATGATATACTTTATTACTATTTTTAATTTGCTAGATTCAGTAACTATATTATGCCTTATAATAAGAGAACATTGACTGAGTATGAATTTGTTGTAATCTACGCAAAAATAGAAACTAATTAAAAGCATGCAAAGAAAAAAAAGAAAAAAGAAGAGGAAAGGTATATGTTTTCTATTTCTTTTTAATCAAATAAAATATATAATCAAATAAATCTAAATTAAAATAATATCAAACATGAAGATTTACCTTGATAGATGAGAGAACCTGCAACAATCAAATCCTTAATCCTCTAAATTTTACATGAAAATTGAAGAAATTTAAAAAAATATCAATTGCCATAAAAAGTAATTATAGTGTAAAACAAGTATCACCATTAAATCAAATACACAATATTTCTAAAGAATAATTATGAAAATAATAAAAAAACATATATGTTGAAGGAGATGAAGTTACTATAAAAATTGTGTAATTTCTTGGTTTATATATAGGTATGAGGTATTGTATGTGATAGGATAATAGTCATAATTAGAGTTTTATTAGGATTTGAATTGTGTATCAGGAGTCTACAGATAAAGAATGTTGTTGAAGTCTAAAGATAAGAATATTAAAGTATTAGAATTATTTATTGGTGAATGACGGAGTTTTGCATGTCCTCTTTTGCTTGTTTTTAGTTGACCTTTATCACTATGGTTTGTGATTTGCATTATGAGTTTTTTGTGTCTATGTTTTTCCTTCTGATTTTTGTCATTTTGTGTTGCATGTTAAATTGTATTGGAGATTGGATAGTTTTTGCATTTCCTTCTAATGCATTTTTTTGTTAGGCTTCGTTCATTGGATCAACATTAATTTATCTGTTCATTTATTTGTTTATGCAACAGAATTATTATTAATCGGGGATTTGCTGTGTCATTGGGTATAATTAAATATAACCATCATAACAAACCTATATAATAAATCATTAAATTAAATTTAAAAATTAGAATTTAATTATAGATAGGGTAGTTCAAACTTTATAGGGGTATATTTGTCTGAAAAAGATTTTTCCTAACTCGTGCTTTTAAAAGGGGTTTTCTCTCTATATATATATATTTATATATATATATATTAAATTCAAGTTGATCAAGATGTTCTTAATAATTACTCCTCTAAATTGTTGAGCTTCATTTTTATTAGATAAATATTTAGTTCAATTCTGATCATTATGTAATTTACGACAGTAATACTATGAAATTAATATCTTCTTCAACATTTTAAAATTCTTTACATTTATATTTGTCTATCATACTAGTTCAATTAATATATAATTTATGAATTATATACTAGTTCAATTAATATATAATTTATAAAACAAAGAATTAGAATAAAAGAAACTAGAGAGCTATCAATCATAAAATAATAATTATTCATTAGTAATTAAAAAAATCAAATTAGAGTGCTATAAGAATGAACCTAAACGCTTTATTCTTGCATCCTCTAATAGCCTAATTTCCCTCTTTATCTTTTCATCACTTTTTAAGTTGTAACAAAGCAAACAATTAAAAAAGAATATCAAACTCAATTGCTAAAAGAATGAAAATTAAAAAAAATTCTTTCGTCTTTCATAGCCCTAATTATTACTTTCTACTTCTTTTCATCATTTTGATATATGCAATATACAATAAGATGAAGAAGAGGAAATAATAGATGAAAATTATCATTTCCCTCTCTTTTTCAAAATTCATAGGATTTTGATATTATGATAACTTCAAAAAAATGCACGTAAAGATTTTGAATATGATATGTTGGATTTGTATCATTTTATGATTTCTTTAAAATATGTTACAATTTAAATCAATGGTATAAATAAATAAACTCCCAAATCCAAATTCAGCCCAACCCAACCCAATCAAGATGCAAACCCTAATCCCAACCCTAACCATAAAAATAACAAATTATTTATTAAAAATTAAGCAATTAAGAGCGGTACAATTTAATCGTCCATTGTTATGTTTTCTTTCTAATTTATAAAAATTCAAATCAGAGTATAAATAAATAAACCTCGAAACCAAATATATCCTAAAAACCTGGATGCAAACCCTAATCTAACAATAACAATACTGAAAAATTTATTGAAAACTGATATATGAAGAACAGTAGAATTAAATCGTTCATGGTTTAAAAAATATATTATAATAACAATACATTATAAAATCATTACAATTTAATTAAGATTTTTTAAAATATTTTCTAAAAAATAAGAGATACCTAAAATATTTCCCTCTGGTTTCAAATTTCAAGTGATTTCAAAATTGTGGTAACTGTAGATTAGGGTTAATATTAATGACAACTATAACTTAGAAGTATAAACTAAAATAATGTATTTTCAAGTTCTTGATAGACCCAATCATCTTTTCTATTTTGTCATTTTTTTCAACTGTAACAAAACAAATAATTAGAATAAAAAAATCATTGATAATTAAAAATTTAAATTAGAATTTTGAAGCAATAAACTAAGAAAATCTTCTTACATGAAAAGTGAAAATAGAGATATTATCAATTCTAAAAAACAAAAAAGAAATTGTCATAGGTAAATGAAAAAAAAAATCAAATTAGACTACTAAAATACGAATCTCAAAAATTTCTTCGTTCTCTAGATTAGAAAATGGTGTCTCTTAACATTTCCAATATCCCTTTTTAATCTTTATTCAAATTTGGAGATTCCCCTAGATTTGCGAATAATATGAAAATTCAAAGGCTAAATATCAGAAAAACTTTCTTAATTTTGGATGATTATCATATAACCCCTATTAATCTATGTGTCTCCTCATTTTTCTCTACCTGTCTCACATCTCTCTCTATTTAGAAGTTGTTGAAAGGTCATTATTATTTTAAAAAGGTCCTTTTTTTTGTTAGCAAAAAGATATCCAATTATCCTGATTCTTGGGAAGTAATTCCAATATTATCAATTAAAACTAACTTCACCTAAATCAAAGATTTGCTTTCTTTTAGATTATTTTGGAAGGTTAAAATTGGTTAATTGAGAATCTTCTACTAAATTAAATCAGAATTTAAAAATATGCGAAGATTTAAAGTAATTGAAAAAAAATTAAATTGGAACTAAATCCACATGTGATCTCCGCAAGAAAAATAGAATGCAAGTTTAGTAACATGTTGAAAAACAAGTTGATTTTTCAGCCAATTGAAATGCAAGAATTATGATACAAACCAAAAATATTGTAAAAAAAAAGCAAAAGTAAATGTTTACCAAAGCGTTCAAAATCATAAGAAGCGGCCCAAATTGCAATTCCAAAACTTCTTCTAAATCATAAATTAAAAACCGAAAGAAAATCAATAACTAGTCCTATAAAAAAAATGAAAAGTAGACAAAATGGAATGGAGCGAGAAAATTCTTAATTCTAGAAGATATAAAACGATTAAAAATTTCCTTAAAAAGGAAAATTGGAGTAGAGAGTTAAAATGTAGGAATTAGTAGAAACATATGAACATGCTGACTTGCAGCTAACATCAGACTACCCAGCAGCAATCAAAAAAAGAAACAACAAATCCTTTTTTGGAGAAGCTTTCCTCCTCTAAATATGAGAAATAATAGGGAGGAGGAGCTGTGAAGAGCTACACACTAGGAAAGAAGTGGTGCCGTAGGGCCCTGAAGAGTGTGGAGCAGATTTGGGCCGAAAACAACCAAATTCGGCCCGTTTATAGCTTGCATTATCTTAACATTAATGTTTCAAGGACCCAGATAGGGGACCCAAGGCATGTGACATGTGAGATGTCACCATCCGGTTGCATGATGCACTGTTTATAAACAGTATATCATGCAACCGTATGGTGACACATCACTTGTCCCATACCTTAGGTTCCCTATTTTGGTCCTCGTAGCAACGCCCTTATCTTAACTACAAGACTCTTAACACGGGGAATTCTTTCTCGTGAATTGTGATCATGTTTCATGTGAACTAAACGAGTCCATCTTACCATCGTAAGTCATTGAAAAAAGAGAGTAAAAAAAATTTGGTATAACTGTGATGATTCCCCTCCTACGTTATTTTGATTACACTGATATTACGTACCGATTATACTGCTTTAGAATTGATAATGAGACGCATCACATTTTCTTCGTGGCTTATGTGGTTTTCTACGTAGAATAGTTTGTAAGAATTTCCTATCGATGCATGATTGCATTGATTGTCCCTTTGTGTAGCGTTTGAGCACTTTTTTTTCCCCTTTTTTCTTGGTAAATGGATCAGGATTAGTTCTTTCAAATAAAATATATCTTATTTTTATTGCGTAAACTCTTGATGCCTAACATTCTATGATGTCTTCGCTCACAAAATTGGCCATTAGTTCCTTTCGAGTGTTGGCATCTGCACCTCGTATAATAAGAACCAGAAACTATGAGATAGGATGTTCCTTGTTTTCTGCTCAATAATGAAACAAAACCTGTGGAAAAGTAGTAACAAAATCAACAATTTAGTCGATTATTGTTTTTTTTTTCTTTTTTGTATGAAACGTCAGCACACCTGCCTTTGTAAGGCAAGGTAGCTGTAACAACTTACAAATAAGCTACTCTATTCCGATGGCTTTGGAAGAGTAGTAACAATGTGACGGAATTCAATCAAGACGACGAAGAAGATACTCTATTTCGACGACTTTGGTTAGAGGAATAACCCAATCTTTATAAAGTTGATAAGCCACCATCGGATCGACTTTATACACGGCTTCCGTGTCATTCACACCGCATTTCGATTCCAACGTTACATTTTGCGCAAACACCATGGCCTTCTTCTTCACCCGCTTCTGAACCATCTCTTCGACGCTCGCGGAGGTCACCAATTGTGTCAATGTATCCTTGTCCTGTGTTAAAGCGGGGGGGTGGGCGAAAAGGCTTCATCGTCTTTTTTCAATATTTGGGATCGAGAACTCCACAAAATCCTTCTTGAGGATCGAGGAAGTTTGACCCATCTTGAGAAAACCCTCCAAGAAAAGTTTGGAAACGTCACTTCACCCCCCGAAAATCTTTTCGGATAACCTCCGTAAAGTTGAAGGTTATCTAAGAAAGTTTCAGAAAAATGCAGGGTGTTACGTCTTTTAAGTGACATTTCCAGGCTTTTTGGAGGCCGGACTTATTAGAGATTAGAAAAGTTTGTGAGGGGTAATAAACCTGCACGCGGATTGCGGGGGTGTAGTCGTTCGGAGCATCTCGGAACTTCACTTCGGCAACAAACCTACCATAATGGATTCTCCTGGATAATAACTGCCAAAAAATATTCAAAAAATAAAAGTAGGTAACGGTAATTTAATTAATCACACGAGTACGTCATGATTGGGTAAAGAATAAGAGCATCTCCAAGAATGATCTTAGGTTTCCCTTATATTTGAGAAGCAAATCTTTCATCCTTGAAAATAAGGAGCCAAATAAGGAGTAAATGCTCCAACAATGCTCCACAAACGGCTCCCTATCTCATATCTTAGACTAAATATAAGGAGTAGGAGGGGGAAAAAGTTGCTCCAACAATGCTCCCTATATGTTGAGACTAAATATGGGGAGTCACTTTGTTATCCTTGATTTAGAATACCAAATCTTATTCTCTATATTTAGTCTCGGAGCATGTTGGAGTAACTTTTTCCCTTTCTACTCCCTATATTTAGTCTAGAACATGAGATAAGGAGGCTGTTGGAGATGCTCTAAGAAGCTAATCTATATCATTCATACCTGCAAGCATACAAGATCTGATGCTGATGTTTGTCCGTAGTTACCATCATCACCTTCAGAAGTAAACGAAGGAAGCAAATCATTGAAATACATATCCCAGATTGTTCTGCTCACGTTTACAGACGCGGCAACAGGGTAAAGTATCTGCAACATCGTCCAAATACATGATGAATTTTAGCCACCTCTTTTATGAACTTCAATTTGAAGATTCAGAAGAATGGTTGCTCATAAATTAAAAAAAGAGAAGAGAAGATTCAAGGAGATTGATTGATTAATTACCTGTGAAAAATTATAAGGAGGTACCAGTGACAGAGGTAAACCTTGGGGGAAGAATGGCAACTCCTCAGGATTTTGGTATCTCCCAGCCTGTAAAAATTAAACCGTAATTTTTAGGATCTTCATTGCCTGTGAATTTGGTAAGGAATTGTTCATTGAGTATGAAGGCTGGATGCCGCCAAATATTTCCTAGGACCTGGTGCGTCAATAAACTAACGCTCCTGCCTTAAAAAATAAGTTATTTCGTACCGGAACGGATCCAAAAAAAATTTCCCCATGTGGGCACATGTATATAATAAAAATAATTAATAGATTATATAATATAAATTTTTAATAGAAGAAGAACTTGAGTATGGTTTTTTGTTGTTGGGATTGAGTATGAATTTCTAATAGCCGGCTTAAGTTGACTTTGGACCTATTTGGGCGGGCAACTGTTTAAAACCAGTGGGGGGCATCCTTGCAACTCTACCTATTTCACCCAAAAAAAAAAAAAAATTAAAATGTGGACGGGGGCACGTGCCCTCAATGCCCCCCACCTTAGATCTGTCCCTAATTTCATGGTATGGAGTTTTGAAGACTTTTGGTCTTAACCGTTGCTCCGTGTAAAATGTTCAGAGGATTTTCATCGGTCGTCAGAAGTTTTTCTTCCATCACAAACGGCTCCCTATCTCATATCTTAGACTAAATATAAGGAGTAGGAGGGGGAAAAAGTTGCTCCAACAATGCTCCCTATATGTTGAGACTAAATATGGGGAGTCACTTTGTTATCCTTGATTTAGAATACCAAATCTTATTCTCTATATTTAGTCTCGGAGCATGTTGGAGTAACTTTTTCCCTTTCTACTCCCTATATTTAGTCTAGAACATGAGATAAGGAGGCTGTTGGAGATGCTCTAAGAAGCTAATCTATATCATTCATACCTGCAAGCATACAAGATCTGATGCTGATGTTTGTCCGTAGTTACCATCATCACCTTCAGAAGTAAACGAAGGAAGCAAATCATTGAAATACATATCCCAGATTGTTCTGCTCACGTTTACAGACGCGGCAACAGGGTAAAGTATCTGCAACATCGTCCAAATACATGATGAATTTTAGCCACCTCTTTTATGAACTTCAATTTGAAGATTCAGAAGAATGGTTGCTCATAAATTAAAAAAAGAGAAGAGAAGATTCAAGGAGATTGATTGATTAATTACCTGTGAAAAATTATAAGGAGGTACCAGTGACAGAGGTAAACCTTGGGGGAAGAATGGCAACTCCTCAGGATTTTGGTATCTCCCAGCCTGTAAAAATTAAACCGTAATTTTTAGGATCTTCATTGCCTGTGAATTTGGTAAGGAATTGTTCATTGAGTATGAAGGCTGGATGCCGCCAAATATTTCCTAGGACCTGGTGCGTCAATAAACTAACGCTCCTGCCTTAAAAAATAAGTTATTTCGTACCGGAACGGATCCAAAAAAAATTTCCCCATGTGGGCACATGTATATAATAAAAATAATTAATAGATTATATAATATAAATTTTTAATAGAAGAAGAACTTGAGTATGGTTTTTTGTTGTTGGGATTGAGTATGAATTTCTAATAGCCGGCTTAAGTTGACTTTGGACCTATTTGGGCGGGCAACTGTTTAAAACCAGTGGGGGGCATCCTTGCAACTCTACCTATTTCACCCAAAAAAAAAAAAAAATTAAAATGTGGACGGGGGCACGTGCCCTCAATGCCCCCCACCTTAGATCTGTCCCTAATTTCATGGTATGGAGTTTTGAAGACTTTTGGTCTTAACCGTTGCTCCGTGTAAAATGTTCAGAGGATTTTCATCGGTCGTCAGAAGTTTTTCTTCCATGGGCATGGTTGCCGGCTTCTAATAGTTGTACCGTACGTACTGCCGGACAAACAGGCTGGACAAAAATGACACAGTTTTTAGCTGTTCTTGTGTATCTTTAGCACGGTATAAAGAAGGAGAATATATATAAGAAAATAAAACCAAACGCACGATGACTTGAGTTTTTAGGTGAGCCAGTCATGTGGTTTTACTCGATTCTGGAGTCTCTGTCAAGGAGTTTCCTGGTGGGCTATTGATTGCTTGGATATCCAAAGACCAAGTCACATGAAGGAAGAAGAGAGGGTGTTTCATTTCTCAACTCGACATGTTACCATAAAATTAATTTCAGATGCATTGTTATCAAAATTTCTAGCTAGAACTTAATTATATCCTATCCATATAGGCCTCTCAGGGCGTTCTTATTAACTTCGGGTGGTTAACATTCACGTTAACTGTCATAATTAGTTGATCTAAATTGGGTTACATCATAAGGAATACGTTCGTGCTGGATGAAGTTTCAAAACGAAGAATCATTGGAGCAAAGGGAAAATCTGGGGGAAGGCGTAAGGCTTTTCCAATGATCCGTACCAAATGTTCGACTTTGTTCGGCGAAAAAATGATGTTTGAATAAAAGGAGTTTTCTTTTTTTGCTCGTTACATTTCTAGGACTCAAGGCCTGTTCTAGCCTTCCGTTTGTGCGCTGTCCTAGCTCCTCTTATTTTGCTTGTTACGTTCTAAAAAGTTTATTTGCCAAATGGCCAAAGTAGCTTATAGGCCATTTGACTAGAAAAAGACGATTACGTTCCTTGTGATTTCACGAAATCTAAGGCTTCATTTAACAACTCACCATCATCCCCATGTCTTTTTGGTCATTTCGACAACAGATGGATTTTAACTCCCGCCCATTCACCAAACATTCTACTAATGAAAATGGATTATAATACACTGAATTTTCCAAACAAATAATGAGGAGAAAGAGAGTAAAAAAAAAAAAAAAATCTGACCTTGGCCTGAACCGCCTCTGTTTCTCTAACGAAGACCTCAACCAGGGATCGGTTCAAAGAGTCACCCAGGTACGAAGGATCGTACGTGGGGGCATTGTACGGGTATTTCGCCCTCTCAATGAGGCTGAACACGATTGAATCCTCCTGCCTCGTTAAAGAATCCCTCAACGTATCCAGAGTAATATCATCTAATAATGAGTCAGGGTCAGAGAGAGGAGCTCTACAGTTACAGAAGGAAGAAGAAAGGATGAGGCAGCAAGAAGACAAATAGAACAACAGCCAGGGATAAGGAGAAGAACCAGAAGCCATTTTCGAGAGAGAATTAATGAATGAATGTAATATTTATAGAGTAATAATTTGATTAAGTCAGCCCCAAGGAGCCAATTGGAGAGTACCTTTCAAATTGGAGGTTAAAAAAGGAATACATCAAATGGTTAAGTGTATAGAAACAAAAAAAGGATTTTCTGGGGGAAAAAAGATATATATTTATTTGTATTCTACATGTACATCCAAATAATAAATCCCCTATTTCAAATAATAATAATAATAATAATAATAATAAATCCCCTGGACACCTTGCCCCGGTTTGTTAAAAAAAGAATAAAATAAAATAAAATAAAAGAAATTCGAGCAATAGGTTTCTTGATCCGTAGTGTTATTTCTTTGAAATCAAAGGTGTATAGTCGAAACACAAGGCAATTTCTGCACAGAAAATAATAAATAAATAAATATAGATTAAAAAAAGGATACTTTTGAAGAAACCGTGAAGAAGTTTGGTGAAGAACAGATGTTGGGATCCGCAGGAGTCAGTTTGGGAGCTGCGCGGTCGACCGCGGCGCAAGGCCGGTCGACCGCGAACGTGCACAAGCCAGAGTAGGAGTCTGGATTTGGCGCGGTCGACCGCGAGACCCTGTAGGCGAATTTGGTCTCAGTCGCTGGATCACGGTCGACCGCGAGCTTTGGACGGTCGACCGCCAATCGGGTCAGGGCATGTTTTGTGTTTCCTGTTCTTATTGGGTTTGGTATTTACTATAAATACCAACATACGAATTAGGGTCCATTTGGCTTTGTTTGGAGATTGGTTTGGGGATATTTGGAGCACAGTAAAATGAGAGTTTTTCTGAGCAATTGTTTGAGGGTTTATTTGGAGAGATTAAGAGATTTGTTGGTGAGATTAGTTGATTGGTTTGAGCGTTTTGTAAGCTCAGTTTGTACTATTCTTCTCTATTAGTAAAAATTCAATCCCCTTCTTGTCCCGTGGGCAATTTGCCGAACCACGTAAAACTATTGTGTTTGGATTTGTGCCGTTGTTTTGATTTGTTTGGCCTTCATCTCGACGTTTGTTTGATTTGGTTCTCGAAACACGTCTGTTTGGTTGTCCCGCTTCCGCGCCGCGCACAACAACTTTATGGTTGACTACCAATAAATGGAGGAGGAAAGAAAAGGCGTGAAATTTGGTGGGAGTTTGAATAAATGGATTGTCAACGGTAATGCAATATGAACAACTTTAGTTCTGGTTCTAGAATTGCCAAAGTCAAGACTCAAACCTTTAACATTGTAATGGTTTGAAGCATATGATGGGATGATGATCTTTTATGCCTTTCCTATTGTCAAAACTTTGACTGAAAATCCTTATTAATGAACTCTCTGAGGACAGGAGCTCACGTGTAAATATCATAAAATAATTAGTTAATATTAAAATTAATGATCATACTAGAAGATTGGGAGTAATTAACGCGATAATAATTGTTTCTAGAGAAACGTTGCTGTCATAATTCATGATCATGCTCGCGTGCGAATGCATATTTCTCAAAATAAGTTTCATTCCCTTGCCATTGACTTCACCTTACATCCTTTAAACAAAAAACTTCTTTTGTACCTGTGAGTTAATGTCATTATTTTATCTTCTCTTGGTACAAGAATGATGCAAACCCTCTATTAGTATCCCCTAATCCTTCGATCATATAACAATTATATGTTAATTATTTATAAGATATAAAGTTTTTGGACAGCCCGATATAATGATAAGATCAAATGATGCCATGTGTCAATGATGTGAATCAAATGATACTAATCACCTAATGGAACAGGATCTGATTCCTATTATCTGACCATTTTCCCTACCTCTTTGAATACGCTAATGTGATTTTCAGAAAATTTGGGCAACATTAAGAATGCAAATTTTTTTGCTTCAAGATTTATTCACCTCTCGAAATCCATCAGATGTTCTTTTAATTATTCAGCTAAGAGTTACATACCATGAAAAAACAATATCTCTACTGTAAAGCATAATTTTGAATGAAGAGGATGTCTTTGACTTGTTTTGTTAGCTCTCTTTTGCCACCGCCACATGGACTTTCAACAAAATTTAGCTTTATATATAAAATGAATATCTTGACTTTTTCCTTTTGCTGTTAGGAGCGTTGAATCATTCCATATGTTATAGACAAAGGAAATGTAAATATAAAGGAAATAATCGTAATTTATTATTATTATTACACGATTAACAAGTACGCCAAATCTATTAAAAGAAGAAATAAAACAAGCAAACAAAATAAAAAGATGAGCACAAGAGAAAAGCCAAACTAATTAACTGCTGAGAAGGAGCTCCATCCATTTGATAAATTAATGTCTGCAAGCAGTTCAACCGAAAGGTGGGGAAAAAGAGTTAGAGCCTAATTTCAAACAAGTACAGGGTTTTTTGCTCATAAACCCAAAGTTTTCCTCCTATTCAGATGAAAGCCGGTGATTTTCAACATCCTGTTTCAATTAGTCCCTAAAGCTAACACCAGCTCGCGATAACTACGCTGTGCCAAGGGAAATAATTGCAGGTTATCCGCCTCTACACATAACAAGCAAGCACAAAAAAAATTATACAGCTTCATTGACCCCAAAAAAAAAAAATCACCTGTACTTACCGCATGGAAAGTTTATCACAACAAGAATACATGAAAATAGTTTTCTAAGATTTAAGACTTTCTGCAAAGAAAACTAATCTAAGCCAGACAGACAAAACATGCATTTGACATCTCATCACTACTTAGCGTAATACACTAGCAGATGAAAGAAACGCGAAAAAGAAGTAAAACAGACCAAGAAACAAAAAGAAAAGAATTGCATGACCATATTACTATAATTGAAAGAGGAAAACATAGTGAAGAGCAATATAGCCTTTATAAAACCTTAAAAGGGTAGCAATCTTGTTCTGGAGGCGTCCAACATTTCACAGGTCCATTCCAGGAAGCAGGTCATCGTCATTTACTTGCATGCATAAAGCTACAGATATCCGTCGACCAAACTTAACATCTCACATATAAGATCTATTATCAGATTACACTTAATAGCAGAAGTTTATATGTCGTTCTGATATTAAAAGCTTATAAAAGGCTTAATTTTTGGGGCCGATTTCCTTCAGAGCACAGATCTGTTCCTCTCCCATAGCAGACATGACAGTCACAACCAGATCCTTCCCCTCAGCAAAGCCATCCTTGATCTGCACGACAAAAACATAAAAGCTCTCAATTATTAAACAGCACGAATTTATTGAAGGTCATATATAAATATACTGCATAAATAATTGCAAACAATCAGCTATTGATGGAAGGGGTCTGCAAAGGGATCAGACTTTTTCCAAAGCCATCCTTGATCACTGCGAGTCATTAAGAAATATCTTGGCAACAACCCCCCGACAATTTGGGGCCGACCTATACAAATGTAACTATCCTATTTCATGTTTATATTCACACTTTTTCCATGCCTCCATTAGAAGAAGCTTACAGGAGATGAGGAAGGGTGACATAACTATCATATTTCACGTCAAACTTATACTCCAACCTTTTTCATGCAGAAATAAACCTCCATTAGAAGAACTTACCAGAGATGAGAAAGGGTAGTGTCCGGTGACAGGGAAACTAAACTGAATGAAGGGATAATTAAACTAGAGAAAGGGGGAAAAACTAAATAACAGAGGAAGACTAGAGATGGTTTTAATGATAAAAAATCAAAAACAAAAACTGGGTGCGAGGAGGGATTTCCATGCCTTTGAGATCCTCTTAACCAAAGAACCTCGTAACAATTAACACCAGTCCGTCCTAGATTAACTTATCAAATTTTAAGTTTAAGAGCACCCAAAGGAAATTAAAACTACTTTACGAACAGATGTCCTAAACACTGGTATAACTGAGAAGACAAATGACACCCTTGATATGCAGATATAGTAATTAACAGAGTTATTGATTACATAGTTAACTATTAATGAACTAAAGATCGGCGAATGTAAAAGAAAGGATTAACACTATGGAAAAACAAGATTACTAAAGGCTACTAGCCAACAGGCAAGCAAGTGCATAATGCATGTTATCTAAAAACAATGTATAAAGTATTTGTACTCTGAAATATAGTAAAAAGTATATATATTTCATTATTTTGAGAGGTAACTAGCTAGAAAAAACCTACAAGAAAAATTCATGAGCTGTCAGAGTATATTGCTCATTCCAATCGTAAATTTTACAATTTTATTCAACACAATCTCTATGGAGCATTTTATTGAATTTCATATCTATCAGTCTTTTTAACTATTTAACTATATTCATTTTAAGTTCTTAAAGAGAAAAACATTTTTTATTACATAATTTACGTAGGTACAGAGATAGACAGATCCTCATTATATGCTCCCTGATTCCTTCGCTCCTGCCCATTACATACGTCCATGTTGTTAATCAAAGGTATTTTCTAAAGATTAAGCCATCTAATATTGAATGTTGATTCAACTTTTCTACTGTTTACACTATATTGTCTAAAAGGACTTGTTTCTTTGTTGATAAAAGTTGGATTTATAATACTGATTGATTGAGAGAGAATTGATGCATTTAATGAGGGAAGGAAATGGACAAATATCCATTCCTACAAATTAATTGAGAAAGTTCCAATTTATCTTAAACAAGCAACAATATTCCAAATTGCTTGAGAAAGTTCCAATTTATCCTAAACAAGCAACAATATTCCCTAAAAACACAACTATAGAATGAGGAATGAGGATTTATCCATCATTCCTTCGATTTTTTTAACCCACACCTCGTTCTTCATAAAGTAGTATGGATTTTTAGTTATACTGGAAAAAACCATTCACCTTTGGCAACTGGTACCAATCTACAATGCAACACTACAGAGGATCTGTCTAAACCAGCTCACTATAAAAAAAACAACTAGCATTTCAGCATAATACATCTGTGAAGTTGCATGATCCCCACAAACCATATACTACAACAATTTTTTAATCTAAGAGATCATCCCAATCCCAAAATATGAAAAGGAAAGAAAAGAATAATTTTATCTAAGGAAAGTCCAAGAAAGTAGTAAATTTGAGTGAAGAAAAGGGAAGCCACTGACATCAGGATTAACTCTAGTATAGGATTTATTTTCATATCCAGATAAATACAAGTACAAGCACAAAAAACATTCTGTTATTTCCAGATGATAGCTGCAATAGAAACAGCATTCACAGAACATCTGAGCTTATGCCCTCGGCGCCAGCAAATAATTTAGCATCACCATCCTCCCGAGGTAGCATTTAAATATTTGATGGAGGTAAGCACCACAAATAACACTATTTCATGCAGATGGCCATTAATTATAGTAATTTTAAGGATTTTTTTTCAACTCACGACAGGATTATGTTAAAGTACATTTGATATTTGTATTCATATATTTAACAAGTGCTTATGTTGTCATTCTTTGAGGAGGTGAATCCTCTTAGAACCAGCCACGTCTTCTTTCCATGCACACCCCAGGCAAATAAACATGTCAAAAAGTATTCTTATGATACAATGAATTAAAGCCTTCTAACGAAGATTTCTTCCATTTTGATGTCTCAATAAAAAAATAAATTAACCAAAAAAAAAGACCAAGGATCCTAATAGTCAATTTATCTTATATCTTTCTTTTTCAAAAGTGAAAAAAGAATTGTGAGTAATAATTAAGTTTTAATAGTAGTGATCCCCACTTTTTCACTTTATAATGAAAAAAAGAATTGTGAGTAATAAGGAAATTGAAAATTTTATTTGTATCTAATATCGTGGTATTTGGGTGCATTTCTCTTATCACAATTTCATCTAACATCTTTAAATAACAAACATCAAAAGTACTGAAGGTGATTCAGATGCACACTTTATTTTATTTTCAATCACTTTTGATGCTTCTTTTGTTGAATGTGTAAAAAGCTACTGTGAAGTCAAATGCATCCAAAATATTGTCACGTTAGATAAAAACCAATTTCACTTTCCATATGAAAGATCCACAATTTATTCTGAAAGTGAAAACAAGGATAACCATTGTTAAAAATTAGTTTATTACTCAATTCTTTTATCACTTTAAAGAATGAAGATATACCGACCATTGGCATTCTATTTTTTTATTTTTTATTTTGAGAAGTCATGGGAGAGGAAGAAATCTTCCTTAGGAGTTACCACACTCTCATCACGATTTGTGCCTTTTGTACACATGTAAGTTTCACCAGGTTTCGCATGAAATGTAAAATGTGGCTGGTTCCAGCTTCTGAAAGGATTCACACTATGAAACATGCAAAAAGCTAACTAATCTAAACTATCTAAATTCAACCTTACTTATCCAATAATGATGAGATTTTGCTAGACCAATAAATAGTAATCATGAAACTGTGAGGCTTAGATACCATAGATTATTATTAAAATTTAGCAAAATTATCCAAATGGGTAATTGTTGGGGGATAGTGAAGCCAGATACTAATGCAACTTCATCCAAGAAATCTAATATGTTGTAATGTCAACAATAATTGTTAAATGTTACAAAATACAATAATTTAGAGAAGCACTTGCACGATCTGTGTACACTCCGAAAATCCAAAATAGACTTTAAATATTTAAAGCATTTTATGTAGGAACCACTATCATATTTATTTTTTATTATGGACAAACATGTTAGCTAGATTATGTAGGCTGGGTTTATGACAGATTTTCAGTTTTATATAACTTTTGTACTTGGGGATGTATTAAAAAGATTAACTAAATCTAAACCAAGGTTTCACAGCAACCAAAATTCCTCATAATACGGTTAAGAAAAAAAAGGACATGCAAGCTTGCATCTTATAATGAGTCAGTAACAGAAGAAAACTAGCTGTCCCTAATCTTACTTATATAACCTCTCATGGTTTTAGATAACTGTTTAGATTTCTTTTCTGATTGTGGGGAAATCATCTTGAGAATCCAAAAGTCCAATCTTATTTGCTACAAGGGCTACAAAATCTGAAAATATTAACACAGTTTTAAGTTTTGCCTCTTGGATGGTAAGAAAGCTTTCTTGAAGCAGAAAACAATATTCCGCCAGTACCTTCCGAATCATTCACACTGGCTGGGGTTAATTCAAGAATATTCTGCAAATGCATCATCAAAGCCTTACTTTGAAGCACGGCTTCAAGTTCTTGGGAACTCTAAAAGGACAAAAGCAAATCAATGTAAGGCACGGGAAGATTACTGTAATGCCTTGTTTGGTATGAGGAAATGACCAGGAATAGAATGCTAATTCCCACTTCTCATTCCTTCATACCAAACATGACGTGTTTTTAGAAGATAGAAATCACATTCCCACTTCTCATAAATTTCCACTTTATGTGGGAATGGCCATTCCCAAAGAGCTGTTAGGGAATGGGCATTTCCACTTAGGTGGGGACTAAGGTGGGAATAAAAAATATACATAACTTTTAAATATGCTCATTCCCACATCATTATCTAATCGCACCCAAACATGAGAATGGAAATGAGCATTCCATTCGCACATTAATTCCATCCCATTCCTTGCTCCATTTCATTCTCACTTCACTCAATTACTGAGTACCAAACGTGGCGTAACATCTTAAAGTGGTGTCTTCAAAAGAGGGAAAAAAATGATCCACCATGGACTTGATTCCAACAAAAATGACAGTATGCCAATTAACCAATTACTGATCTATTATTTTAACTTGCCTAAAAGTTTTCAACATCTAACATTTTATACGCACAGGTTAACATGGATCCTGAGTAAACATTATAATCAATTTCCAATTAGAAACTACTAGACAAAAGCTTCCCCACTTCAATCTGTTAATTCTCAGAGATAAGCCAGAAAATATTAACCAGATAGCATCATCCATACAACCAAATATCACGAGGACCTATACATGACATGGATCCTGAGTAAACATTATAATCAATTTCCAAATAGAAACTACTAGACAAAAGCTTCCCCACTTCAATCTGTTATTCTCAGAGATAAGCCAGAAAATATTAACCAGATAGCATCATCCATACAACCAAATACCACGAGGGCCTATACATGAGAACCTTGTCATTCAAAAAACAAGCCACATAGGAAGCAGTAGATGGTTGCAAAACCAATACCATGTATGACAGACCTGTGTGCATACGAACTTCATAGTTCATCACAGAAACAATGCATGCTTAACCTCGCATCATTTCATCCACATAATAATACAAGCATAAAACAGCATACAGAAAATGTTTCCACTTCTAGACATCTAGATACACTGACAAATATTGAAAAACATGGAAACAACAATATAAGAAAGATTGTATATTCATTGCAAAAGGAACATTTCATACTGAATCTACTGAGAAATGTACGTCAATCAATTTTGGGTATTTATTAAGTACGACAAAAGCAACTGCACTAACCTGGCTAAGGAGATTGTCATCAGTGGGAAGCCTCAGGTCATCCTTTGTGTTCCCGTTCTCAGTCAAAAGACTCACCTATAAGATAGAGCTCCAATTCAGATCATAAACCCCAGAAACTGCACAGGTTGAAGCCAACAAGGACTAAAAATAATAATTAAAAGTAGACATACAAAACCATCTTCAGATATGTCAATGAGTTGATAGTCAGTGCGATTAACATGAGGAACCTGCAAATTTTTAATTTGATAGATTAAATCATCTGGATCCAAGCATATAAATTCTATATTCTGATAGCATCAAACATGGAGATGGTTTACATCACAGTTATGGGAGGAAGGCACAATATCTTCAAGCTTTTTCGAAGTGAAGATATCAATTGCCACAAAGTGACACTTGGCGTGACCATGCTTGCCTGTTTTGGATGTCGAAACCTCAACAACCTGCATAAAAATGCAACTGCTGAATCAGCAAACAAGCTTTTATTGGATAAATAGATGGTGAAGAGAAAATTGCAGTCCAGGAGCATTGGGGAAGGGACAAACAGGCATATTAAAGGACATTACAGTATATCTTCAAAAGTTCCAACATCACTGAAGACCACAAGACAAATTGCGTATTACCAAAGTAAATACCTAGAAACAAAGTTATTGCTGGAACTAGATGCTTTATCACAACTTCATACTAAAACATCAGAAATCATCAAATTATATACTTATTAACAAATCGTTTTGACTTCATACTAAAAAATTGTGATGAGGAAATTGCCAAATTAGTGCTATAATATACCCAAATGCTTACGTGAATTCATGCTACAAAGTTAGCAGTTCAGGAATTGTTGGGAGAATCTATACCTTCAAGTACCAAAAAAGAGATGAATCCTCGCCAAAATTTAGTATTTAAAAACATTAAGGTAGTTGAAGAGTATTTAATGGGTTTATCAGAGTTGAAGAAGGAAATAAGAAAGTAAAAGAAGAGAAAGGTAAAATTGGATTTTTTTTTTTAATTTAGGAGGGATCACATAAAGATTAATTTGATATTGCTAGAGCTTGCAATAAGCTGCTTATAAAAACACCTTATAGAAGCAACTTATATAAGCTCAATTTGGTAATCAAATATCAAAAACTACTTAAGAAGAAGGAAAGGTGCTTGATAGAACTATGCTTAATGATCATTGTTAAAAGATAAAATGTATGTATGGTATATAAACTAAAATAAAACAGAAGCTACTGTTAAAAACACCATCAAGTTGCTTCTAAAAGCACCGCCTTAAGCATGCCAAAACAAGTTTTCACCAAACACCATTATTGAGAGCTTCTGAAAAAAAAAAAAAAAAGCAAAAGCACCCTGAAAAAAGCCAATACCAAACTAACCCTAAGTACGAAGTAGTGCAGCATCTTAATCTTTCACAAAAGAGCACGAATACAACAATACGCGGCGCGCTGAAAATACATGTAAAACGATTGGAGATTTCAACAAAATACTTATACGAGCATGAGTACAGCATAACATCCATATGCAAATTAGAAGGTCGAGGCGACAACCACGCTCCATCGAAGAGAGTAGTAATCTCGAGCGGCGAACGACGGCTCAGCAAATTACGGCTCTGCTTCTTCCAAATAATTAATTCGATTCTGTCTAAAAAAAATGTTTTCGGAAGATCGAACTAATAATCAGATCCACGGATAATCGGCTGCTAAGCAGTACAAATCTCCTCAACTCAAAATAAACCAGAAATCTCCGGTCAAATTACGAAGTCCATCGAAAGAGAATCCCCAAGGAAGAAATTATACCTTGCAGGGCCTGCCCTTGATCACCAGGTAGCCGTTCTTGCGGATGGTGCCCGCTTGCTGGGGGTAGGTCTTCGAAGCGCCGGCGTCGGCCTTCGACTCGAAGTGGTGCTCCTCGTCCGACATCGCTCTCCCTCTCTCTCTCCTTCGCCGTCTTCGCTCTCTCTCCTCTCTCTCTCTCTCTGATGAAAGCGAAGGAAAGAGGGGGTAATAATGTAGGATTATAGATTAGGGTTTGATTGGTCTTTCAGGTTTTGTTGTTTTTCTTCTTCTTTTTGATGATGCGATGACTGTGGGCCGTTGGATGATTTTTTATTCCGTCCTGATCTTACGGCAGAGGTTCGACGACTGTTAACATGGAGGAGTTAATTTATGGACAGCCCCTTCGACAATTTGGTCACATCAGAAAAAGAGGGCACACCCCAGCC